TTCGAAAAGAAAAGTATCAATTTAATAAATTTCTAGATGAACGTCAATAAATGCCATACACGAAGCTGTTTTCTTCCGCACCATCTTGCCTGGAAGTACTGCGATGTAACTTACAGCCTGAACCAGCAGCACCGTGAGGAAACAAACATTACCTCTGTAGCGCACTGCTGAGTATCTGACGGATATTCAGCGAAAGACTCAGGAGACAGGAGCAAATAGCTACATCCTTCCACTCCTTCCCTTAGGAAGAGAGGAAAGTAACACAAGAACAGGAATTTCACGAAGACGTACTCCGCTTAGTGGATTAAACCCAGCTATTACGGGAAGTAGAAAATACCATTTTCCTCGACTAGGATCCCTTGACATAAAATTCTTTACAAAGAGCAGAAGAAATGAACACAAAACCAAGTTCTACATTTAGTGTTAAAGAGGAATGTTAAATATTTTTTAAAAATACTGGCAGCACACCAGGGCTGCTACAGTGAAATCCCCTCCTCCTGCAACAGCAAAAACTCCAGGACATAAACACGAAACTGTTTCTGCGGCAGAAGCAGAAGTAACATCCCCAGAGCTACTCCGGAAACAGACCGCAGGTCCCGCACTCAACAGGTCCACGGGAGGCCCCGAGGCCCCCACTTTCCGGACCCCGGGCCGACGAAGGGTCTCAGGCGCCGGCAGAAGACCCCGCACCGACTCCAAGCAGCAAATCAAGCGGCTGGACAGCGAGGCTGCAGGTACACGAGCTCGCCCACTTCCCGCCGCGAGCCTCGAAAATGGCAACTCCGAGGCCGCCGGTGCCTCGGCTCGCCGCAAAGCGGACAAGAAGTCCAAAACCTGCGCCGGGAGCTCGGGGGACAGACACCGCAGGGCTCCCCAGCGGGCCGGGAGAAGGTACACGAACAGGCCGAACGCTGCCGACGTTCAGGAGCCCACGCGAAGTTCCCACAGCCCGTGCTGAGCCCGACGAACCGCACACCGGCCGCGGGCGCCGGCCCCGGGCCGCGGGAACTTGTTTACGGGGAGACGCGCCGCCGAGGAAGCCAGAGGGGGCTCCGATTTGGACGGAGGGTGAAATTTCCAGACAGGGAGCAAGTTCAAAGCGGGAAAGCGACTCGGACGTGGGGGCGCGCGGCGGGGGTGTCAGGACGCGGGGACCCCGGGCGCGGGGCCTCGGCCCGGCCCTGTCCGCC